CTTCTCTTCTCTTCTCTTCTCTTCTCTTCCTTATTCGGTTTACTTTACTTTTCTTTACATTTTTCTATCGATGTGATAATGCTGATCGACCTAAAATTATATATCAAAAGTTATCGAAAGAAATGAAAAATGTCAATTTTTTGTCTAGCTGAGCAAAGAAGTGTCAACTCTGACAAACAGCATTGCTCTAACCTATCTTATACGGTATATAAGGTATTTTCTTATTCATGATCACATCCTTCATTGCCTTAGTATTATTACCCAGGAAGGTATCTACCGACCTTATCATTCAAACATCAGTCTTATGTCAGGCCATCAATACAGGATTGCGCTTATTGTTCTTCAAATATTGACATTTCATCGCGCGTCAATAGCATAGGTTTGCTGGTCTTTTGATGTGAGGATGCTGTGGTCGTGCACGCCCTTTCGCGACTGATTTCAATGTCAAATCAATCGAATCGGCATTTATTAAAGTATTAAAGAGCTTCTATCACGAGACAAGATATCGCTATTCTTAAATTCATTTAAGTAGTTCTCGTGATGGGCAATGCTCAAATCCCTGACCCATTACTGACAACAGACGGAACTAATTTCACGTGACTTGTGCATTCACTAAAGTAAACTGAAATGGTGCCTCTTAGAAGCTATTACAAAATAATCAAAGTTTGTCAGCATATTTATTCCCAAATTTGAAGCCTGAATATCTGCAAAACTACATCTGGATCTCATCTTTTGGGCCCCTTTTGATCCTTCGTCAGGCAGAAATGAAACAATTAAGGGTGCCCTTAACTGCCCTTAACCCAATTGATCGCTTCACCTTTTCAAACCTTGGAATTCCAACGCAGTCTCTCGCCAATTGATTGAGATACTTACGAGTAGTTGGATGGTTTTGCAATAGTGTACTTGCTTTACGAGGAAAAATTAACGAAAAGAAAAAGGCGTCTTAAGATGAGCGCAATTCCATTGACTGCGGTACTCGTAATGGTATTCCTCTTGGAGCTTGCCAATGGACGAAGTGTTTCACCTGGTAAGTGGTCGTTTCCTCTTGTCTAAAGACTAAAGACATATAAAAACACTTGAAATACTAGGAGCTGGGAGAGCTGTTTATGTAGGCTTGAATTCAGACAAATTCCCCATTGGGACGCTTTCAATCTTATCCCTAAATGTAGTAATATATAGCAGCACAAAATAGAATCATTATAGACGCCCGGATCCCTAACTCGCGTTTCCTGATTCTAATTTTTCACTTCGATTTGGAAACAATTCTTTAATAATGGCTCTTAACGGCAATTACCTCAAGATTACCTCTTATCTTATTTGTAAATATGTCTTTCACATGTGTTTTGTATTCTTAGCTTTTATACTAATGACCGTGAATTGCGCGTGCGATTTCCAGTGGTTCTCAGTAAGGATGTATACTCAGTCTATGTCCTTCCCAGAACTTATTGTCATTATCTTGATTTATTTCGCGCTCCGTTGTTTCCCCAATAAGCAAACAACATTTAAAATTTGGCATAAAAACCCTGAGAAATTGTCCGCAATGCTCAAGAACTTCTTCACTCAAGATTGACAAGGAAGAATAAGATGATGTTCGAAAAGAGTCTTAAATTCAAAGTTTTCCAGACAATTGATGGTGATCATGTGATGGTGGAAGATCAGAGCCATTTAGACGCTAGGACTAAGAGTCCCACTTATCTCCAAATTGTTTGCTCTTATAATTGAAAAAACAGTAGATGGAGCTGCAGACAAATTCATAGACGAAGAGCAATCAATTTGTCTATCACTTTTGACTTATGCTTCTTGTCTTACTCAACATTTGTACAAGTATCCTGTTAATTTTAGCATAGACGCGTCCTCCATACCTTGGAATAAATGTAAAGTACCCCAAGAATGCAAGTGTTCGTTTCTTTCTTGTCCTATTGATCGCGTGGATCATTAAAGGACCTCTTATGATCCATGTCCTACTCAAGCGATCTTGAAGGAACATGTTTTTGAGCAACACTTCTAAGTTTTCTGTTAATGTTAACATCGGTTTATGCGCGTCCTCCAAACCTTACAAACACAGTTTTTATGCCACTTATCAAAATTAATAGTGCCAGGTTTTGAATAGCACTAAGTGTGAACTGGGTTATGTTTGTACCACGTCATCTCCATAAGCCATCGAGAGAAATATTTAGCAGCATGTAAACAGGAAGGTTATGCTATCCCATGGAAAAATACCCCAAATTTCTCGCACATTTTCCACTTTTCGCGTCCAAAATAACAAACAAAATCAATTTTTAGGAGACGCCCTTTTCACCTCGTCTTTCCTTCATTACTTTCCGTAACACTGGAAATATTTTCTGGAAATACTATGAATTATTACTGAGTTTAAGGATACGCTTTAAGGTAGTGCTTGTGGAGGTAGGGAATTCGAGTGCACTCAATTTTAATTTGTCATCATATGAAATTCATTGAATCTTATAGCTTTACGAATTTTATGGTTTTGCGTGCGTCGTCTCCATTCCCCTATGCTGGAAAAATGCAACATCTCACATCAAATTTTGAAATAGTTCTGAACTCTGTTTCTATTGGCATCGTGCGCGTTATGTATGGCATTAAGCCGAGAAGAGGTGAAAGACTGAGTCTGAATTGAGAAGAGAGCCCCTCTTATCGACATCCTGAAGTCATCTACATAGTTCTGATCCCACTTAAGTTTCGTTGAACACAGCTATAAAAGAAGTCATAAAATAACCCAACTAAGCTATTATTAGAAAGGGTAGTTGACATGCGAAACCCCAGTGTCCGAGAACGTCGTTGAAATAATTCAATATCCTTCTTTCTTTGCTCAGGTCAGAATTCCTTACTGGAAATGCCAGCCACATTTTTGCTATCAATTCAGCTGTCAGTTTTGATACATGTGTAACTGTTTTGGTTCTTTTTGATAGTCTGACTTTAATGTTTTTCAGGAAACACCAACACCTCATCTGGAAATCAAACCGACATGAACGTTGGGTAAGAATTGAAATCTTTCTGTTTATTAGTTATTTATACTTAACTAAAATACATCTGATAGTACTGAGCCAGCTGGTCTGTCATTTGAGTACTATTTACTCAACGAATAACTCTTCGGAAAGGTTCAAGCATCTTAAGGCATGTCAAACTCGGCAGACCAAAAAATCTTAATTCTCGCAACGATAGGTTCAGATTACTAGAAGAATGCATTCGACTAAATTTCCAAATACTGAGGTTGTCACTACTGAATTTGTTTAATATTGATAACAAGATATCATTAATCATTTGGCGGGAATTATGATTCTAGTAACCACGTGACTTGCAAGGCGATAAAGGGATCACGTGACCTGCCGCCGTACTCGAATCGCAACATTGCAAGATTAATCTACACCTTGACAAGTAGTGCGAGCTTTGCTAACAAAATGTCACCGATCATTTTGCGCCAATATTGATTTAATTTAATATTCACGTGACTTGCAAGGGGACATAACCACGTGACTTACTAAAGTTTGTCTCAGCATTGCAAGCATTGATCACACTAACTATCTTTTCAAGGTGCTCTCCTGCATTTCAGTTGGCCAACACGACTTCAATGTGTCATCGTTTTTACAACCACAGCATGAGTCTTTGTAACCGTTCCATAGCACCAGACACGCCGTTGTACGCCAACATGGCGGAACAAATAATCAGAGAGTACAAGCTCAAGTCTATTCGGATCAAGCCAGAGTATTTTAGAAACTCTCTTCCAAACCCTGCAACTCTACTGCGCAAGCGCTGCTTTCAAATTATCCAGGATATGTATTGCCATTATTATTTCCCGCGCTGTGATACGTCGTCAGGTAATCCTCAGCCCCAGGCCATTTGCAGGTAGGTATGAATGGGATAATCTTATAACATACTTGACCAATAATCCTTATCTGTATAAGATTCGATTACAACGTAAGTCGAGTTGGCATTGCAGTGCATCGTGGGACTGTTTTAGGGGACAAAATGGACGACATCTTGGAAATATCTCCCCTAAATTAAAACAATTCCAAATGCACTGAAATGTCAACTCGTTTTTTTCTATGGTAATGTAACCAATCAGTGATATGCCCACTTTTTGTTTCCCTCTATTCTATTAACTTTCTTCTAATCTTGTGATATTCTCATATAAAATTCGAAATAGTATAAATTTTTTAAAAATCATAATATTCAAGCCAATAGCCTCAATAGTCCAGTTTCGAGTTCCAAAGTACCGCTGCGTTTCTTGATTACAGACTCATTTACTCAGGCTTAGCCTCGAATCAGTGTCTAATTACTCGCAAATACCAACGGTAAAGTAAAGAATGCACAACTTCAACAATACGAACACTTTGAAACTTGATAGACCTTGACTGGAACACGTGAATATTCTTCACAAAATCGAGGCTTAGCCTGAGAAAATGAGTCTGCAATCAAGAAACACAGCGGTAATTTGGAACTCGAAAGGGGACTATTATAATTCATAACAATGCACACATGTGAACCAATCACAAAGAGCATACCGTCAGATCTATTGGTTGTTTCTAGAGAGGCGTGCGAAATTTTAAACTTCATGTGCAAGCCAGCATGGCTCCAGCTAATGCACACCTACCCTGGAGTCACGTGGTACGCACAGGACGAAATCGGCGAGAGGATGCACGAACACGAGACGTTGAAGAGCCACACACAGAAGAATATCCTTATGAAGTGTAGCGGCCTTCCACGGATGGACGGACCGAAAATACCTGAATGTTACATTCCAAAAGACCTTCTCTGTAAGCTATCATAATATTATGTTATTTTTATTCTACATCTTTGAAAATACAGCCAAGCAGAGTGCAGGGAAGCTTTTGTATATTCAGCAGCACTCCACTGTTCCTTCCCATCAGGGATTATTGACTAGATTTATTTTCAATGGGTGTGAGTGAAATAGTTATACGATGCTTTCTCGTGGCACACCATGGAATATCCCACTTGTCACTGTATTTTCCAGTACAGACCGGAGATATGAGATATTCCACTCCGCCGAGGGACGAAGTCCAATACGGGGAATATTTTCTTCCAACACCGTTAATATCAGCGGCTCAAAACCACACTAAGTTTTATAATGCGATTCTCCTATTCTTCAATTCAAAAATAAAGAAAAAAGCGAGAGCGATACTGATTTGTTTGAGATTCTCACTACCTAACATTCGTCTCCCTAGCAACGGTTTCTGGAATGTTCGAGAAAATGTCAAAATGGACGCCCGGCGGCCTTTTTGAAAACTTTGTTTCCATCGATGTTTCCAACAACATTTCACTGTCATTATAAAAAAGTTTATAAGAATTTTATTGCTTGTACTATTTACAGGTATTTTTTTCTTTATATACTCCATTCTTTAAATCTTAGTGTATTGTAAATTTTCTCGACATGCTTTTTTCTCTTCTGCTTTTATACTCGAGTAAATCTTCGAGTTTACAAAACAAGCGTATTTTTTCTAAAAAAGGATATTATGATTGTATTAAACGTTTACTGGAATTAAATCTATCACTCTACTTCGCCCAGAAATCGTCAATAAAAGAATAACTGATTCTATGTATTTTTTGTCATGCAAACAATTTCTCTAAATAAGATTTCTTCGGAGCGTAGCTCGAAAGGAGACAAATTTTAAACGTTATTTCTCACTCACCTGTAGCAGAAAGTTCAAGATATATAGCTCGTAATTTCCCTTTAACCTTGTACCACATCGTCAGGAAATAGTTTACGGCATAAAAATTGTAAAAGAGAAGAAAATGAATTTTTATGTCAGAGATGTTGACATTCCAATGAGAACCGTTGCATTCAGAAGAAAGACGCGGATACCAAAAACGTGCAAGCTATTTTCGACGTCAATCAAATGCTATGAGCCAATCACTCGCGGTAATTCTGAGCCGACAAATACGGGTTTATGATTGACGTATCTCTCCCGATCAAACATACCTAGAATCGCGATATATATTTTTTCAGGCAATCTGTCGATCAAATTATTCCTTTTTTTTTTTCAGATGACAAGACAATGATCGAAATAGGCAATGGTAAGTCTTCTTATTACACTTAGCGTGAGGGATGTATTGCAGCGAAGAATGTTTCACTTCTCTGTCCTCCCATTCTCTCTACGCCACTGATTACGGTTTACCAAAACAACAACCTTAAAAATTTATCAATACCCTTAACAACTTCTAGGCAAATAAAAGTCAGGCACGGCTATGTCACAGATCAAACCCTGAAACAACCTATGGGCTGATCAAAGTCATGGCATGGCTAACTCACAGATCCAATTGGAATTTAGCGTGTTGTATTTTGCGGAGGGCAGGACACCGTACCAGAGAACCAGGTGAAAAAGCCTCCAATCAAGGGATACTGACATAACAAACTCTAGTTAAATGTGATGTCGAGTATGGGCAAATCAAATCCAAGACCCCATTTGTGAGAAGCCAACGCACTAACGCTACGCCACCCTTGATTCTTAACAAGGATTCATATTAATTGGTGATAATAGACCTATCCCGAATTCCCTTGACTGGTCACGAAACAATGGTTTTAAGTCGAGGTTGAACTTGATGAATAAAAGAATCAAGTTCAGTCTCGACTTCAAACCATTGTTTCGTGGTCAGTCAAGCGAATTCGGGATAGGTCTATCCCCCTATATATCACTATTCAAAAAAAAAAAAAACATTTACTCAAATACTACTCACTACTCATTAACTCCAACACTATGCACATATTACCAGGAACATCCCAAGATTGTTACTATGGTAATGGTTTCGCCTATAGAGGGAACGTTTCTCGCACCCATTCAGGCTACGAGTGTCAATCATGGTCAGAACAGTGTCCTCACCGCCACCTCAGGACCCCAGAAAAGTACAAAGAACTGATTGGAGCGGATAATGCGTGCCGAAACCCTGGTCACCAGGCCCCTTCAGGACCTTGGTGTTACACGACAAATCCTCTTGTACGATGGGAATATTGTAACATCACAAAATGTCCACAAGGTATGTAGGCTTGGAAAGTGTGGTAACGTTGACTTTCAAATGCAGTGGCTATGATATTCAAGCGCTTTGATGGGTTAGTTTGAATTTACATGTTTTTGATTGGCTTAAGTGGAATCAAAGAAACATCTATAGGTCTTTGCATAATATAAAACCTGCCTGCATGGGCTATACAACTTTTTTTAACTTTGTCTGGACTAACAAGACCGAAAAATCAAGTGAACCTGGACACGCTGTTAGCGCGCGCGAAATATATTTACAGCGGTGATAGAATATACGCATGCGCAAACTCTTGATTTCAAAAATTAAAATGTCTTGTTTATATATTTCTTTTATGAAGGAGTGGTATTGATTATTTTTTCTTTTGTTTCTTTTCCATACGAAGCGCATCTGCAGAACGTCAGTCAAATGACTATTAAAGCCATCAACAATGTCATACCTTCCAAAATCAAGAATCCCATGCAACACGGGATAAAAAAGACGAATTCCGGGCCGCATTGATTAGAAATTTATGTAAATAGTGACTAGCTGTAGATAATATGCGGAGTTCAGTTGGATATATACAGAGAATGCTAATTGATATACCAGTTTAGTTTGGGCGTAGTGTTTTCCCAATTCGATCACGTGTCATTCTCTAGAGTATGATTTCTTCGTTGAACAGTTGTACTTGAGAAAGACACATGAATATGGATACTAATCAAACAAAGAATTGTATTCTCGAGAGAATGAAACTTGGTCTGAAATGGGAAAATATAACGCCCAAGCCAAGGTAAAGAGGTACATACTTTATTAGTCTTACAAATTTTAGTCCTGTATCGATCAATCGAGCCTATCAGTAGCAACCTGATTTGAACTTCGTATAAAAGCCAAGGTCAACCCATCAGATTTAAGAAATCTGACCGATATGTAGATAAGCATAGACTACCCCAAATGAATCTGAGAATATCAACGGAAATAATTAACTGAGTGACCGCATTTGAAATGTTGCGCACATGAAAGCTTTCATTTGACGAATAATTTCAAATGAAATTAAATTAATAATAGCAATAATTGGTTAATAATAATAATAATAATAATAAAGTTATTATGTCATTTTACTGCTGGTCAGCAGGATAATAAAAGTGTAATGAATATGACGTTGATTTTTAATACAGACTACTGTTGCGCATGCGCATAGCGTCGGTAGTGACGTGCATCGAGGTGATTTGGAATCTAGGCGCGCAATGCATTGTTTGTAATACCCGAAAATATTCAATTATTTTCTATTATCACTTGTCAAAACGAAATATTTTCCGACAAAATATCTTATTTCTGAAATATATTTCGTGAATCTCCTCGGATGATCAGTTCTTATGATATTTATTTTCAAGTTTGTTTATCAAGCCGAAAAGGTACCTCAAAGTATTGAGCAAGGAACAAACATTATCGCTGATTGGCAATTTTTTCCGGGCTGAGAGAAGTGAAATCATCCAAGATATGTTTGGTATCATAATTCGCATTACGTGATTCTCTTCCTTGCTATCCATAAACTAAAGTTAATAAATTAAGTCTATTCATTTCTGTTACCCCTCGAACCGGTTCTAGTAAAACGAGTGAATAACCTACACTTTCTCCATCCTTCCAAACCTTTTTTACCTCTTTTTTCTTTCGTTTCTAAACCCCCCCCCCCCCCCCCGATATCTGTCCTTATAGGACATTACGGTAATAAAATAAGTAAATATAAACAACGTTAAATAGTTTTAGAATATTTTTTCTCATAACTTGGGTTTGATGCTATTAGGCATTCTTAGGTTGAGAAAATCACTGGGTTTAATTGGGATTGCAGTTGGACAGTTTTAGGGAGCATATTTCCAAGATGGCGTCTGTTTCGTTCCCTAAAAGGGTCCCAAAAGTCACTGCATCGGCAACTAAACCCAGTTTTTCCCTTAACCTTAGAATGGATAATCTAGTGGATACACAGTGTTTCTTGTTCAGATTCCTTGTCAAGTTTATTTGGTCTTGAACGGGATCTAAAACAGAAAGATTGTTAATAATGATAATTAATGATGATAATAATTGGCTGGCTAAGTTGGTTGAGCATCGGTCTGCTGTGCGGGAGGTTGTAACATTTTGTAAGCTCAAGTCCCAATTCTCCATACTTTATCATCCCTAACCAATTCTTCTTACGTCACAGCCGCCTACTTTCTTACCATTTATATGTTCAGCGGCGATCGTACGAGCCACGACGACGGTACGAACTACGACGACGGTACGAGACACGACGACGGTACGAGCCACGACGACGGTACGAGCCACGACGACGGTACGAACTACGACGACGGTACGAACTACGACGACGGTAAGAACGACGACGACTACAGTTGTTGTTGTTGTTATTGTTGTTATTATTATTGTTGTTGTTGTTGTTGTTGTTATTAGGGTCATTTTCTTCAAGTTCGCGACGACAGTTGTTATTGTTGTTGTTGTTGTTGTTATTATTGTTGTTGTTGTTGTTATTGTTGTTGTTTGCCGGTCGTCGTTTCTCTGCTTTCACGTCTCCAGCACTGTTTAAATGTAAAAAAAAATGTCTTCAGCTTATTGCTTGGTTGCACTTGGCGTCAAATCACTTTCTCTTGCGGAATATAGCTGTTCAACTGAAAGTTTACATTTTCGTTGACTGACACAACATGGTGGTCAGAGTTTGATAACCATTTGGATTAGATCATACTTTTATCGTCAGTTTTTGATGTGTCGTTGATCACTGTTTGATATACACCTAATTCAATAAACGTCGTCATGACCATAGGTGATAGACGAAAAGTGATTGGAGATAGATCATTCCAAGATCCAAGAATAGCTATTTCTGCTTCTTATTCTCGTCAAGAACTTAGACTAACTCAATGTTCTTTGTATTCAACGTAACCATGTCGGAATGCCCTATAGCCGTTGGCGATGTCAACGTCTATTGAAATAGGTGTATATGTTTTTTAATGTTTTTAAGCCAGTTTCGAAACCTTGCTACCGCGAATCTATTTCGCGCATTAAATCTTATATTGCGTTGTTTTGAATAATTTTCCAAATAATATCTTAATTTGAACCCTATTTCTATAACCTAAATGGAAAAGGACAAATATACTTTTTTCAAAAGGATTTGATCCAAGATTCGAAGTTATGTTGGTATTTTTGTTTATCCTATTGACCAATCAGAGACACGGTATGGCAATATCATATTTGATAAAACAAAAGAATCATTGACAAATCTTTTGTTGATTAATAAATTAGAAAATTAATTTATTAATTTTGTGCTTTTTTCAGGCAAAACAATTGTTTGCTTAGATAGTAAGTCGAGAAAACGCGATATTTATAGCAAAATTAATATAACATTTTTGATTAAAAAAAGTGACAAAAACCTCCTGAGACTACACCTCTTAGCACCAAAAAAGTCTGGGCGTTTCTTCTTTGAGTATCGTACACAGTTTACGTAAATAAATAGAATTAACAAAAGACTCCAAGTAATGTGAGCCTACGTGCAAGCAGTTGATTTAAGGCATTCATTAAAATAAAATATATCAAACCTTATACAATATATAAAACTACCATAGAATGAAGTACATTTTAATACCATAGAATCAACCGAGTGCTATCTCGGTTCTCCTGTTATACCATAGGAACGGAATATACCATCGTGACGGTGGTATTTATATATATATACCTATTTCGAAAATCGTTGTCGCATCAAGAGCCTCAAGTAACAAGCCAAGGCTCCAGAGAACGTCGGTACTTTTAATTATAATTGATTTATTCATGGTTCATACAAGTGGCTATAGCTCTCCACTAATTATCATTTCAAACAGCCTTGCTTGGAGCAATTTGTGAAGTCTATAAATGAAAATGCACCATGAATAAACTAATTACAGCTAAAAGTACCGGCGTTCTCTGCGGTCTTGGCTTGTCTTGGCTTGTTAGCACGTTTTTGTTCTTTCCCTGTAATTTAACTAGTACCTTTTACAAACCTTCTCAGCAAAGACAAAGGTTATTTCATTATTTATCTATTGCTTCTTGAAAAGCTTTTCAACTTCTTTTTTTTTTTTTTCCGTTTGCGTAGCACAAATGTTTGTCTTACTGAATCTCACAAATATCTTGTTTTGTTCTGAATTTCAACGCATTGGTTATGTGCACAGCCTTTTCCACTGTAGAAGAACTAATAGAGAACTTGAATAAAATCCTGTTTTTCCCCGCAGAGGAGGGGGTACAGAGTTGGGAAGCAAGTGTTTACAGGCAGTGAACAATCTCAGTAGGCATCCACATATCAACTATATGTTAGCAATACGTACGTGTCCATGCAGAAGGAAAACTTCTCGAAAATAATAACCGTCGTGGTATTCTACATTATATGCTAGCATTCTTAGTCCTTTTATAAATTTAAGGGCGAGCATTTACATTAGTATATTGTGAACGCAACTTTTTTATATACCTGCGTTTCAACGGGACGAGATCTTATTCTCGAGCACACTGCTCGTCAGTTAAGCTAATAAAACAGGTAGTGTTAACGATATTAATTGTGCAATACCTTAAGTTAAATAAAACAGGTCTACTGAAAGCTGTTTCATTATTTTATTGAATTTTCTGGTCATAACGATGATTCTAGTCTTATTCCGCTGGTTTATGCTAATTCCGCTAGTATATGCCTATTCCGCTCATATGCCGCTAAATCGGAAATGTCTAGTTGGACCTACAAAAAAGTTTATAAAACAGTTGTACAAACAAGAGATTTGGAGCCGTTCTCACCTTTCAAGTCTCTCCTTTGTAGCCAGCTTTTCATCCTTGGCAATCTGCATGGCAACGTTCTTTGATTTCTCCTGCTCATCGAGTTTGTTTTGCTCTGGTGTAACCTCATTAACGAGGAGGCACACAGTCATCGCAATGACAACGATCAATATGACAGCCTTCATTTTCGTGATGCTTGTGTACAAACAAGATAAGATAAATGAATATTTACGAGTTGGTAAACATTATAAACTATTTAAAGTACTCGCCCAGTTTAATTTTTATTGTTATTAGGTGTTGTGCATAAGAACATACATCGGAATTTGGATGTACGACTCAAAGATTTTGGTCAACTGTAAAAAAAAAACAATCATTCAAAATGTTGTCGAGGTTGTTTGCTAAATGATAATTAAAATCACATTCCTTAGTTACTGCATGACCGCTTTAGACGTGAGATTTTGTTTTCTTTTATCAAAATTTCTACCAAAAGAATCCCAAAAAGTCATGATCATAAAAGAACCTTAAATCTTAACTGATCTGCAGTTAAAACAAGACTCCTGGTGTATCTACATTTGGCGGTTGCTTCAAACGCAATAACCAGCATCAATTCATTCTTTCTCTAAATAGCTGTGAAACTTAGCAGAAGGTGTCACGCACAAAACAGCTCTCTTTTTTTATTCCAAAAAGTTTAGACAGTTTGAGGATACAGTTTTTTTATGTTGACCAGGAAGTAATATGTAAGAAGATGCATGTAAAGACAGAAGAAAATTTCTTTAACCTAATTCTTATCGTTGCCAAGAAAGTAGGTGCTGCTGAAAAGCTTTAACAAATCTACTCCCAGCTAGCTATACTATCATGATCTACCACCACAAGTGAATTAAGTAAGACAACTATTTAAAATACCTTGTACATACCTGTTTTACTAGGAATATCCCGTCCAAACTGTTTTAACTGCTCGTAAAGAATACTGAGACTGTTAGGTTTGTCGAAGCCGCCCTTTAAATGGACTAAGATGGATTAAAGGAGTATTAAAGTTTATACCACGTGATGGACGGATAATTTGATTGGTTGTCATGAACAGCGTACCGTTTGCATTACGTGACGCCTCATGCAAACGACCATTAGATCCTTGCAGCACTTTGGAATGCAGCTCAATCTGGGGGACAAAACAAGAGGTTCCAATTCTCATGATCAGGAGATTGGAATACTTTTGTTTTTCCTTCAGATTATTTCTCTTTAATTGGTTTATCATTATTATTAACCTTAATTTACCATCAGCCACCTCTTGTTTAATCTTAATATTAGCTACTCAGCCAGTTTAGCCACCAGCTATTCTGTGTAGCTTTTACCTACTTCAAGTCTCAGTGTATATAGCTTGTTTTTCTCACTGTAGTATTTTTTGTACATATGGTAATAAACTCATTGTTGTCAGTTTTTGTTGTTGTTGTTGCTGTCGTCGTCGTCGTCGTCGTCGTGGTCGCTGTTGTTGTTGTTGT